ACCGTCTATCTGCAAAAGTTGGCACTAACTTCGCCGAAAAGCGGCGGTCTCTCGGTCGGTATAATTGGCTTGCGGACTACATGCCAAGGAGTTTTTGTATACATCATCGTCAGTACCATTTAAAACACATACTAGTTTCGCGCCATGGTGTTTATATATGCTGCAGTTCATGAACCTGAGCCGCTGCCCGTTTTCGAATCAGCTGTACCGAATACCCTGAGTCCGGCCGCGCCATAGCCCAAGCGCTTAGTCGCTGGCTTCCCACCGCGGCGGCCCGGTTTCGATCCCGGATCTGGTCAAGTGGGATTTGTGGTGGACAAAGTGGCGCTGGGGCAGGTTTTCTCCGAGTATTTCAGTTTCCCCTGCCAATCTTCATTCCACCAACTGCTCCACAATCAGCCTCACCTATCATCTGGGGCTGGTACAATAGGCCAATAGTGGCCGCAGTACATGGGACTTAGTGCCACCCCACTAGCAATAAAAAAACCTGAGTCCGCCATTAAGCCTGTGTTTCTACCCTCCATCTAAGCGGATTAAATTAAGACTCGAGCCTGTCACATCTCAAGTGGCTCCTAATCAATGGAGCTATAATTATTGGCTGAGAGGATACATTTAAGGTGTCACACACTCTGTGCCAGTCTGATGAAGTTAAGCACCGCTGCATGCTATAACGAGACATCCCGACCGGTATACTTTGTATTAATTGTTAAAGAACTAGACAACCATCAAGTGTAACGAGGTTTTACTAAAGCGTTGAGTCGTCCCAAGCGCTGGTACACCAGCCTGCCAGTTTGTCTTAGGCGTAAATATCCTCTATTTTAACAAAGGCAGTGTTCCATCAGTCTTTTGTGAATAAATAGTCCGTGGAGTTTAGTCCGCAGGCGAGCTATACCGACCGAGCTACCGCCGCTTGTCGGCGAAGTTAGTGCCAACTTCAGCGGGTAGAAGGTGTCGCGTAGTCAGCTCAACAGATTCCCACGGCCGTTGATCTCGATTTTCTAGACCGGAGACTCCATTTCCTTGAAATAGCTCTTCAATTATCGTCACGAGGCTGAGTGGACCCCATTCCAGACCCACTACTTCTCAGAATATCTGGTAGCGCCGGGAATCGAACCTGGGCCTCTGGATCTGTAGCCAGGAACTCTGACCACTAGACCACAGAGGCGGTCTTTATGAATAGATAGACTCTGTATAATTTCATCAACTTTTCCTAAGATAATGTACTGTCTCGTGTAGGGGTGACTTATAAGACGGATTTTGTAACGAATGATTGGATTAATTGCACCTTATACAGACACAACTCGAAACTACAGGCAGTTACAGCGCTCTCGCTGTTCTACACACACTTTACACACTCACTATGGTTATCAGTCTTCACTAGTCGTATTCTGGCAACGGATTTATAACATTCTCACTGTCACTTCAAATCACATATTAATTCATGTTTTTACAGTCTAATTCCCTTGTAATCATTATTCTGCAACTGCCAATTCAGTTCAGTTCCTTTGCTCCCAAGCTCATATCCAGGTAGGCTGGCGTCTCGAAACTGGACTCGACTTGACTCTAGTCGACACAACTACTCTTCTACTCTTCTCAAAGTCAAAGTCACATTGCGACTGACGGTCAGTCATGACCTGATATTTAATGCTGTTTGACAGTTACGGTCTTGTTTTCGTGGGGCGCCCTCTCTGACGAGAGGATGGATCTGTATTTTCTGTATGCTGCTGGCCCTTGCCAGCGCAGTCTTTTTCGGGTCCGAGTCTCTTGGGATTCGTGACCATATTTTACTGTCTCAGATCTGAGACTTC